TGTATGTCTCCTTTTTTTGGTATTTTCATGCAAATTCTTCTTCTAGTTGGGGTTTAGTCCAATTCTGTATCCTTCCCTTCAAGGCTCAGGGGTCCACGATTATCTTCTGTGTCTGTGTTAATTGGTTTCCTTTTTCTTTGTTGAAGAGGGTCTGTGCAATCCTTCTGCCTAGTCCGCCATCTTGCTGGAATTCGGAAATGTACTTCTTGAATTGTGATGTGACATGCAAGTAGGAGGGAAAGACAGCCCCACCCTGGGCCATATGGGGGCTCAGCCCGTGTGCTCTAGCCCTGAGTGTCTGGTGGGTAAAGGGGCTGCAGGTGAGGGTGTGCCTGGATGCATTATGCCCTTCGAGTCCTGAAAGTGAGCATGGATCACAGCCCTTCCTAAATGAATGTGCACTCTCACATGGTGGCCTTCTTGTAGGGTTAATTTAGCTCTATGTCTGCCCCCTGGGATGTTATTTTATTTCATAGAGTACTTCTTGTGCAATTGTCCTGGGATTGAGGGCAGAAGTTCAGACCATCACATTAGACTTGAGTCTCAAAGCCAAAATGCTTGTGGTGTATGTGACTGTGAGCCTTTTGGTTTTGGCTTTCCATGAGTGAGCCTCTTCTAGCTCCATCTGTTCCTCCAACTGTTGTTGTTATTATGAGCTATCGAGTCTGCCCCGAGTCATAGCGACCCCTCCCTGGGTCTCTGAGGCAGTATCACTACGGAAGTAGATTGCCCCATCTTCCTTCCGAGTAGTGGCTGGTGTGTTTGAACTACCAGCCTTCTGGTTAGCAGTCAAGTGCGTTAGGTACTATGCTACCAGAGCTCCCGTTCTCCAACTGTAGGTACTATATTCAGGGTCAGAACTAATCCAAGAAGGATGGCAATCTCCTCGTCCTCTTTAACCATATGCCCTGGGATCATTTTCAGCTGTTTTTTGTTTCAGCTGCTCATTGAGCATTCCTGTTAGAGAAAATTACAGTGGCTCTGTGGGGTATTTAAGGGGCCCTGGTGGTATGGCTGCAAACCAGAAAGTTAGCAGTTCAAATCTGCCAACCACACCAAGGGAGAAAGATGTGGCATTTTGCTTCTGTAAAGATTTACAGCCTTGGAAACCCTATGGGGTCATTCTACTCTGTCCTTGAGGGCCCCTTTGAGTCTGAATCAACTTGATGACATTGGGTTTGGTTTGGGTTTGGCAGGTCATTTTCTTCTTTGTAATAGATTATCCACTCTTCCATAAACATAATGTTGGTTATTTTTCCTTAAGTGTTCACCTGACATTTTTCCCACTGAGGCTAACCTGCTGACTTTCTGCTCCTTGCCTTGGCTCTGTGGGGTTCTCTCTTTGGGCTTGGCACTCTGCTACCCAGAAAAGCTGGCATCTCTGCACACTTGGAGGCTTCACTGGTATACTACTTACATAGCATAGGTTAGGTCCTGGGAGCCTTTGGCACAGAATTCCCCACCAGAGAAGTACCTTTGCTCCTCCTCTCTTGGCTCCTGTTTCTAATCTAGTTACCTTTCTATAAAATATTTGGAACACAATGATTTTTAATTACCTACAACAGAGTTTGGCAAACTGCGACCCAAGGTCCGATTCCGGCCAGCTGCCTGTTTTTATAAATAAAGTTTTATTGGTGCACTTCCCCCTTTGTTCTGTATTGTCTATGGATGCTCTTGAGCTGGAACAGTGGAGTTGAGTTTGTTTTTTTTAATTGTGCTCTGGGTGTAGATTTACAGAGCAAGTTTGTTTTACATTCAGCAGTTCTTGCACATTAGTTTCATGCCCCGATTACCATTCCTGACCATAACAAACTTGGAGTTGAGTGATGACAGGGACCTGTGGCCTGCAAAACCTAAATATACTGGCCCTTTACCAAAAAAGTCTTCACTTAACAGCAAGGAACCTTGTGGAAAGCCCTTTCAGATTCTCAACAGCTTTTCCCCATCGCTGTGTATTTCCCAGGGAAAGTTGAATTGCAGACGGTGTGTTTTGTGTGCTTCCCTCTGTGGTTCCTGGTAGCACAGAGTGGATGGTCTGCAGTTCTGCCTTGGTTCTGCGGTGCTGCCCAGAGCTGGGAAGTCTGGCTTTGTTGCTGAACAGCTTGTCTCCTGTTCTTTCTTTCTGCTCTCTTTAGCCTTCCCAGTAGACCTTTCCCTCTTTGGCACATTTGGAAACTGCAGTTGATAAATGACTGTGGACTAGTGAGCATTTTTTGTTTTGAGAAAACACCAAGGTAAATATCTTCCCTTTTCCGTTCTCTTTGATTTGCTTTCACAGACCTTAGATGCTGGGAGGAGTACTGCAGACAGCTCTCCTCCAACCTGGGAGGCATTTCTCCATGAGGGGTGAGGGGAGCTTCCTGTCATTTACTGCTGTTTTTCACTTCATTTTTCTGAAAGATGAGAGGATCGTGAAATACTTATTCAACCTTGAGAAATAAGACTTACAGCAAAGGGCACTTTATTGTCCAGAGCAGGTCCTGCTGCCCAGCACTGAACTCTATAGCCCTGCTCTCTCTGCCTCTCAGTGAGATGGCATTGCACCCTCAGAGTGGTTTTCCATTGTCAGGGCACCATCTCCCTAGGTAATCCTAGCTCTGTCTTGCTATCTCCTGACATAGCCTTAGGATCTCTGCCAAAGCTGCCCCTTCCTGCTGTACAGAGTTTTAGTATTTGTTTTTGATAGGATATGCTGCCTTTACTAGCTTCAATATTAATGTTCCTTTCTCTTTCTCCTTTAGGGTCCCACCACAACAGAACAGGCATCCCAGCAGAGGAAAGTCCTGGGCGGAACCCAGGAGTTTAAATTCTTGCCAAGCAGCCCCAGATCTGGGGAATGGACAAGCAAGTGGGGAACTAGAGGGCACCAAGGAATAGCTCATGCCATCCTGTCCCTGTCCCCTCCAGGCCACGTTTTAGATGGCCCTTTTAGACAGTCCTGGGCTGTCCTCAGAACCAAGCATCAGTGCCAGGAGCCCTCAGCAGGTCCTGCTCTCCTTTAAGGAGATGGGGATCAGCCAGGGCACATCCCTCCAGGCCAGCTCCTGGAGGGAGTTAAAGGAATGCCGCATCTCCACAGCCCAGTCTTCTCCCTCTCCCCCAGGCTGTGATGACGCAGTGTATTTATACCTCTTCGGGCCAAGCCATGATGTGAGTGTGTGCTGCCTTTTTGTGATTGTGACCTGTACTGGCTTTGCTTTTAATTTGCCAACCTTCCCGCTGCTGGCAGCACTTCTTGAGCAAACCGAGAACACCAGCTTTGGCTGGGGGTTGAGATCCACGGCTTTGTCCACAACATCGTGTTGCAAAGCATGTTCCCAGTCTGCTCCATGTGCCAAACCTAGAAGCACGATCACCCACAAGTCTGTGCCACTGGCCCTTGCTCCCCCCTGTGGAGACTACTTTTCTGACCCTTTCTGGAGCTCTCAGAGAGCAAGCTCTTCACACTGGGAACTAAGGAAGCCTGTTTTCTCTACTGTTCCTCTGCATGTCTTGCTTAGTTGCCACTAACAGTATTGCCAGTTGATATGTTTTAAGAAGAGGTCACACATAGGAGGAAGGGATCCTTATGCTGCATCTAATCCTTCCTTCATTATCTGAGTCCAGGTGATGGGAACCACCAGATGGCTACTGTACCTATCTTGTACCTTTCTCATAGGCCTCCATGTGTGTCAGAGGTGCTGTGTGGCTGTGATGTGCATAGAAAACTGCCAGGGAGGGAAAGCGGTGTTTATGGACCAGGTAGATCCCCTACCACCTTTGTCAAAAAAAAGAAAAAAAATTTCTTACATCTCTGAAACTTTCAAGTTCTTTGCTTTTTCCGCTGTTCCTAGTTCTGGGGTTTTAAGAGAAGTGGGAACAAGAAGGCATTTGTATTTTACCAATATTTACCTTCCATAGTTGTTTAGCTGTGGAAACTGGAGCATGACAGGGACATAGGATCATAGATTGGGTAGGGAGGGAAGAAGATCTCTAGAACCTTTCTGAAAGGAATTTGGGTCCTTATGAATGAGACTGAAGGCCAAAAGGACAACAGTAGTGTTTGCTTACTAATTGTTAAGGAATACTCTTCAAGAGTAAATCCAGGTGGGAAACATACTTCAAATTCATCTCTTTCCAGAACAGTGGTTCTCAACTTGTCTGCACATTGCAGTCACCTGGCCAATTAAAAATACTGACACCTGGGTCCCACGTACAGGGACTCTGATGTCATCAATCTGGACATCATATTTTTGTTGTGTTTTATTTTGGTAATAATTTTAGATTTACAGCAGAAGAGTTCCCATATACCCTTCACCCAGCTTTTCCTAATGTGTTACCGTCTTACATAACCATGATAAATTGATCAAAACTAAGAAATTAACATTGATACAATACTATTAATTAAACTACAGACTATATGTTACCAATTTTCCAATAATGTCCTTTTTCTATTGCAGGAGCCAATCCAAGATACCACGTTTCATTTAAAGCTATTGCTTTTTTTTTTCTCCCTTCCTAACTTTATTTTGAAATAATTATAGATTCATAGGAAGTTACAAAGAGGTCCCATATATCTTTCACACAGTTTCCCTCAGTGGTGACATCTTACATAATTATAGTACAATAGTAAAACCAGAAATTTGACAGTGGTATGTTGGGTCTATAAATCTACATCATTTTATCAAATGTAGATGTGACCACCACAGTGACACTCCATTCATTCTGCCCTTTTCTGGTCCATGGTAATCACTCATCTACTTTGTGTAGATTAGCAGTCAGCAGACAGAACTATTTGATCACCACAAACGGGCTCATTTATAATCACACCTACCCTACTCCCTAGCAACCACTAATTGGTTTTCCATCCATAATTTTGTCATTTCAAGGATGTTACAGAATCATACAGCATATAACTAGGGTTGATGTTCTTTACTTGCATAATTCTATGGAGATTTATCTGGGTTGCATTTGTCAATAGTTTGTTCCTTTTTATTGCTGAGTAGTTTTCCCTGATGTGGATGTACCATAGTTTGCTTAACCTTTCACCTGTTGAACGACATCTAGGTGATATTAGGCTATTATAGAGATGCTACGAACATTTGTGTGCAGGTTTTTGTGTGAACCTGGGATAAATGCCCAGGAGTGCCAATTGCTAGGTCATGTAGTAGTTACGGGAGCCCTGGTGGTGTAGTACCTAAGGCATTTGACTGCTAACCAGAAGGGTGGTGGTGCAAACCCACCAGCCACTTCGTGAAAGGTTGGGCAATCTACTTCCGTAGTGATACCACTTCAGAAACTGAAGGATGGGTCGCTATGAGTCAGATCCGATTTGACAGCAGTGCGTTTGGTTTTGGTTTGGTAGTAGTTATATGCTTAGGTCATCTTAAACTGCCAGACTTTACCAGAGTGGCAGTACCATTTTACATTTACACCAGCAGTGGATGAGTGATCCAGTTTCTCCACATCTTTCCAGCGTGTGGTGGTGTGACTGTATTTCGGCTGTTCTGATAAGGGATGCAGTGATACATCATTTTTTTCTCATTCAGCATTGACTGCTTTGTGCTTTTTTATTGTGGTAAAGCCCATAAAACACAAAATTTGTCGTTTCAACCATTTTCACATTCAGAGTGTTCTGCAACCATCACAACTATTTGTTTCTAAAACTTTTTCATTACCCTAAACCCATTAAGCAGTAACTCTCCATTCTGCCCTCTCCTTGTCTATGGTAACCACTAACCTGCTTTCTGTCTCCATGTATTTGTTTATTCTAGGTATTTCATATAAATGGATGTTTGTCAAACTGACACATAAAATGGAATCATACAGTGTTTGTCATCTTGTGTCTGGCTTATCTCGCTTAGCATGTCTTCAAGGGTCATCCGTATTGTAGGTTGTCATAGAATTTCATTCCTTTTTATGTGGAATAATAATTGTATGTATCAGCTACATTTGTTTATCCATCTATATGTTGATGAACACTTGAGATTGTTTCTGTTTTTTGGCTACTGTCAGTTATGCTACAGTTTTCACTGGTGTACAAGTACCTGAATCACTGCTTTCAGTTACTTTGGGATTGTACCTAGGATTATATATGGAATTGCTGGAGCATGTTATTTTGTTTCTTTTTGAGAAAATCCACCAAACTTCTCCACAATGCTGCACCATTTTACATTCCCACCAACAATGGATGAGGGTTTCATTTCTTTCACATTCTCACCAACACTTGTTATTTTCCATTTTTTAGTAAGAGTCGTCCTAGTGGGTGTGAAGTATCTCTGGTTGAGCATCTTTTCATGTGCTTATTGGCCATTTGTATTTCTCTGAAGGAATGTCTGTCTAGTCATTTACTCATTTTTTTAAATTGTCGTTATTGTTGAGTTATAGGAGTTACTATATTCTGGATATTTTGCCCTTAAACCAAAAAACCAAACTCATTGTCGTCAAGGTGATTCGACTCATAGCAAACCCCCCTCGGGATTCTGAGGTGGTATCTCTATGGAAGTAGATTGCCCAGTCTTCCTTCTGAGGAGTGGCTGGTGGGTTTGAACTGCCAGCCTTCTGGTTAGCAGTCAAGTGCCTTAGGCGCT